TTGGCTTGTATGCATTTAGCTCAGCTCGTGGCTTTTGGCTGACTTTTGGGTTCGTTGATGCCACAGTTTATTGCAGTTTATTGAGTCAGCTATTAACTTGTTTTTCTTGTTACCTGAAAATATAAGGCTAATATAATTGTAAATATGCCATAACCAGGCGCTACTCCTGCTGCTGCGACTCTTTCAATTTATTGATTAATTTCAGCACATAAATAACAGCTCAAATTTAATTTTGTCCTCTTCAATTTGACTGCACTCAAAAGTCATTTATCACGAGCAACTATTTTGTCATTTTTCTAAAAACTCGTCCAAGCGGGCGTAACTGACTGCGTGATACTCGTTGATGCTAGAAAATGAGGTTAAAGCTAATCAAATATAAAACTTTTAAATAAAAAATTTCATCTTTGTGGGGCAAGTGAAGAGCACAGAGTGAGGTCTTCTTTGCTTTAAGACTGGGAGAGTTTTTTTTATAAAGACATGTTAGAGTTTTTATATAATGCTGTATAGGATTATAAAATATTTTCTATATATATATATAAAACATTCACAGCTCCTAGCTCTTAAGTTGTCAAGTAAATATTAAATCTCTCATCTGGGCCACGCTTCAGTCGTAATTATTCTATTCTATTCACGAATATATGTTCATATAATAAAAATATATATACATATTTTTATTATACTATACATTATTAATAGATTTTAGTATATATTACAATATTATTACACTATTAAATTGTATTATTATCATTATTATTATAATGAATATAATAAATAAATTATTACCAAATTCGTAGCTTCAATCGTTGCTCTAGCAGCCAAAGAGTAAGAAATTCAAAATGCACAAATAAAATAAATTCTCTCACAACCAATACGCTCTCTTTTCCCACTGAAACGCAGCTTTCTGCTCGCTTTAAAAAAAAGTACAAAAAAGTGAGCGAGAAATGCCGAAAATGTCCATTAATAAACGACAATTAAAATGGGTTCAAATCACGCTTTGATGCTGCCCGCAGCTGCCAGCTTCGAGGCACGCTTTTTTTTATTAATTCACAATCGTGCCGGCAGCGCAAGCTGCGTCACACACAGTTTTTTTCTGCTTCTTCTTATTTTCACAAAATTGATGACCTCATGACCTCAGCAGCACAAAAAATATGGTTAGGGGGGGAGGGAGAGAAAATGAAAACGAAAATAATGTGCAATCGAGTGAAGGCCAGCGGCAGGGCATTGTCTGGCCATTGTTTGGCACTTGGGTTAAGATGTCTCCGAGTATTTATTTGGGCAAATTCTTTAAAGTCAACGCGTGCTTATCAACGGCTGGCCGAGCGGTAGAGGTAGGTAGAGCGGCTCACAGTCCGCTCGGCCGCTCTTATCATTGTTGTTGCAGCCCTAAGCCTTACAAATTCTTTATTAAGATGTTTAACCAAACGTCGGTTTTTGGTCTCTCGGTCTCCTGGTCTCTCGGTCTCCTGGTCTCCTGGTCTCGTGGTTTCCTGGTGTCTTGGTCCGTTGCCTTCAAGAGCAAAAAAATTGGGCCAAATAAACGAGCAAATATATAAAATGATTTTCATCCTTTGTGTGTTTTTCGGCTAAATGGAAGAGCGAAACAGGCAGAGATAGAGAGAGAGAGAGAGAGAGAGAGAGAGATGGTGAGTGAGACAGAAATAGCTGTCAGACATATGTTTATATGCTCGAATCAGCGCTTGGCTGGGCTGAGTTGGAGCCGGTTTGGAGCTGCCCGGGCTCTAACAATTTGCTCATAAGCCCCAACAGCGCACAAATATCGAAAACTAATTTCATCAAATATTTACGGCTCATAATAAATCAATTTGCACTTTGATGCCCAGTGCAAAGCGGAGGCTGCAACTGAAGGACGAACCACAAATGCGCTAAGAAAATTAATAAATTTATGTAAAAATATTGAAAAGTGAAAGGGAAATAATGCAAGTTAAAGAAGCATAGTTATTGACATAAATAAATGTATAAAATATTAGGTTTGATTTTAAAAATAAAAAATATGTATTTAAAAATAAACTATAAATTTTATATATGTAAATTATTAATTATGCATGCACAGAAAAAATAGAAATAAAGTATTACAAAATAAACCATTAAATTTATATATTGAAGTTATTAATTATGGTTGAATGAGAAACATTTCCTGTATCCTATTGGACTCTCTTCATATGCTTTAACAATTAACAATAACAACAATTATACAATAACCGATTCCATGAGCATAACTCATAATAAAAGGAATGCTAGCTGCTGCGAGCAAAAGGCTAAGTAAAGTCTTAAGACTCTGCTCTGAAATATACAAGATGAAAATTTTGAGCAAAAGTGTTAAAATTTTGAATAAAGTAAATACGACCTGTGCTGATTGCGTTCTGAGCTATTTCTCAGAGTGCGTGTAAACAATAGTGAGAAACGTTCAACAGTTAGAGGCGAGCTATGAATTTATGACTGTTAAATGCTTCTCACTGTATTTTATACGCACTCTGAGAAATAACTCAGAAAGTAATCGGCACAGCTCGGCTTCGCTCCGTTCACGATCCGCTGAGCAGATCAATTGCGTTCGTGAATGGAGAGTGCATATGTGAGAGTGTGAATGTAAAAGTGAAGTCCGATTGCATTGACTCAGTTCATGAGCCTCTTTCTGCGATCGTCAATCGTATCTCTCGCTAAACGAAGTTCGTTGAAAGAGCACTACACGAGTAGCTCAACTTAAGCCAATCAACAGCGAAGAAAAACGAAAGCAACCGAAGTGCTCCGCTCGGAGCGAGAGTGAGCGAACGATATAATATTTTAAGTTTGATTTCGGGAATAGAGAATAATTTGTGATTTGCAATTATTTATGTATGCCTGAGTGAATTAAAGTAAACTTATACTGCTTATACATATTCACATAAATCGTAACAATCAACATTTCTAAGCAACTCGCATTCAGTTAGAGCATTTCAGCCATTCACGCGCACGCACATAATTAAATCAAGCATACGCCGCGTGGACCAGCGCGTTGCGTATACGCGGGGCGTGTGACGTCATAAAATGTGCTGCTGGTTGCTTTGGTCGCGCTTTGGGCCATAAATCAAATAGGCAAAGCCAATACAATGCGAGCACCTGCAGCTGCAGCAGCAGCAACTGTTGGCTAAAACAAAAACAAAAATAAGAAAAAACAAAAACAAAAATTAAAACAACAAGTACAACAGCAAATTTACATCTATAAATCAGTGAGTGGGCGTGGCTAAAGCGCCGCTTGACCTGCGGCTATTTGCAATGCGCTGACGCACTAATTTAGCCCCTCTGGCATATTGACGGATTGATCAATATCAATAACGACATTAAGCGTGGCAAGTATTTAAATGCATTCGACTGACAAACGCCATCAACCGAATCATTAGCATCAAAGTAAATTTACGTATATTGATATTAGCCGCGGGGCAACCGCCCACTCGGCCAACTAGCCAACTGGCCATAACTCAGCAATTGGCCAAGCAGCTATATATGCGCTATATATATATAAATATATATATATATAAATTGTAATTTGTATAAAAGGCAGTGCAAGGCGTCTTTGCCGCTGGCCAAAGTCAGTTTGAATGTGCTTTGGGCCCAATGTATGCAAAATACTTGGCCGTAATTCCTTTTGCTCGCTCGCTCGCTCGCTGCACAACTTATGCAAATGCCGGACTCGGAGTTTGGGGGCGTAAGCAAAGCAGTTGCTTTTACGGCGCAATGCATATTATACAATATATAATATATATATAGAAAGAGATATATATAGATATATACWTACATCTGTATAGAGCGCTAGTCCAATACATATCTCTGTGTGGGAACAGCTCGAAGTTTGCTCTTCTCCCATACATATAGGAAAATTGCATGTTTCACTGCAATGAAAACAAATCGCAAAATTACCATAATCAAAGCATAAAAGGGGATTTTTCTTGCTTTCTACAGATGCCATACTCTATCACTCTCCCCGTCTCTCTCTCTCTCCCTTTCTCTGCATGTTGCATTCACAATTGTCTTGTTGTCGCTGTTAGACAAAGGGAAATTTTGTAAAGTTTCACCCAAAGTTTTCGACACAAATATCTCCAAGTAATTGGCCTCGTTTGTCGTCTGTCTAACAAAAAAAAAAAAAAAAAATGAAATGAAAAACTTGCAAATTCAATTTTGAAATCAATATACCCGATGGCATAGCAATTGATGCGAACATTTCACGAATTGTTTCCCAAAAAGTTTCGCGCGTTGCGGTTATTGGCTAACTGAATGCAATGCGTGGCAATCTATATCGAAATGTGAATAATGAATGCGCATCTCAGCAGAGCACTTGGCCAGACAAATGGAGCGAGTTGTTATATTTGGGATATCTCAAAAACCATAAGAACTTTGCCAAAGTCATAATCGATGTATAGTTGGAGTTAAAGAAAGATATTACTGAGGGGGATATAAGGAAAGCTGAGGAGGGAGTGAAGCTGTGCAGTAGAAGGTGTCTTAATATTTATATTGCTAGAAGCATTGCTTGTTTACCTCTAAATAATTGATAAGAAGGCGTCACATTCTGTCAATCGAACATATTTCCCCCTTTTATAAATCCTCCAATTTAAAATCAATGCCAATTAGAATTCCACTTATTAAACGGCATATCACACATATATAAATATAAAATAATATCAATTTACATTATATACCCAAAACGCCTGCTCTAATCTCATTTAAATTCAACAGTCAATTCAAATCACATGCAATCCACAAAGTCCACACTCCACACTCGGCCAGTTTCACTGTTCTATTGCTAACGCTAGATGGCGCTGTTCATCATGGTTCTGGTCTTCACTAAAGCAAGCCAAACTGAAATTTCAATTGATTTCGAAATTGTGTTTCCCAAAATTAAATGAATACACATGTTCTGTTTTGTTGTTGGCAATTTCGCTTCAGTTTATATGTATAAAAGTGACTACTATTAGCTAAAATTTGAGACTATAGGCGTTACAATATTTGAAAATAATTAAACAAATATCAACTGGAAGACAATAATTGACATTGATATGTTACGTGGGCACAACTACAATTTACGACTATGGACGCAACACAGAATTAGAGGATGATTTAATAGCTAGGAACACACAGGGGAAGATTCTAAGATTACATAACTAGGTACAATTATTGCTTCGCAGTTGGGGTCGCTCGTGAAATTCGATTGGGAATACGTTCTATTGCTATTTGTTTGATTAATTCAGCTTTGGCAGGCTACCACGCCCACTTGGGCGACACCTTGTCAAAGTTCCACTCGTCGGGATGGCCCTCGTGATTGTTGCCATCGTCCACGCCGCTCATCTCCGACCATTTGAACGGGCCGCTGCCAATCCTTCGCATCGCAATGGCCCTCATATCGTTCCGCACCGGCCGCCGCTCCGTGATCAGCTCCAGCTCCGCCAGAGCCGCCGCATCGTCTATGGTCACACTGAGCCGCTCGTCGCCCATGGCAGCGGGCGCTGCCTGATCCGCCCGCTCCGCCGGATCAGCCGCCACCTGGACGTGGGACTCCTCCTCCAGCGAACGGGCGTGCGCATGCTGCAGCCTCAGGAAAATGGGCCCGGCAAAGGCGTGATAGTCGCTCATGCCGAGCCGCGCATTGTAGGAGAAGAGCTTGAGGTCTATGTTGCCATAGGCAATTGACTCATCTCCCAGCAGATCGCCGCGAAAGCCGTGATTGCGCAAATACTTATCGACCGCCTCCAGATTGGTAAGCTCGGCCTCCTCAGCGGCCGTCATTGTGTGATCCTCACTGTGGTTCTCGCGCGAGCCGCCGCTGGCCTTCAGGACCTCATCGAAGTAGGGCACGCCGTTGGCCAGCCAGGTGGAGTTGCCGGCCAGCAGGAAGTGCTCCGTGACATCCTTGCTGTACATCAGGCCCGGCAGCTGCTCCGCTATCCAGACCATATTCTTCAGCTGATCGTGGCGCTCGCTGATGGCGGCATTGTCCTTCTCATTCACGGCCACCGGCGCATCGTCGTGCTTCTCGTCCGCGTCCAGCGCATGGTACAGGTTGTCCTGGGTGCCCAGCTTGTTCAGGTCCACGGTGATCCATTGCTTGGCGCCCGTTATCGGATGCCGGGACATGGCGCGCGCCCAGGTGCGTCGGTTCTGGGCAATGCGATTGGCGGCCATGACGCGCGCCACAAGCGGCACCATGTTCTCCACGTCCACTGCCTGCCACATGGTCAGGTTCTCGTTCTTGATGCCAACGCCGCCCACAATGGACTGCACCTGCCGTCCCTTGACCACATAGAAGTCATCCGTGGAGCCCACGATGCCCGGATAGCCAGTGAATGTGATGTCCACCCCGGGCACCGTATTGCTGCGCGTGTCGGGCGAGAAGTGATAGTGGAACTTGTAGCGCTTCTGGATGCGCAGCATGGACGAATAGCTGCCCGCCGTGCTGTGACCGAACAGCAGCTGCAGCATCTGCGGCGACTCCTCCTGGCGCAGCAGCTTCGTCAGCATCGAGGCGCTGGGCAGGAAGAAATTCTTGCTGCCCGCCTCCACGGTGCCATTGCCACTGGCCAGCACATAGTTCTCGTAGTAGATCTTCAGATCCTGGATATCAGCTGCAGCATTCATCAGCAGAAAGTCGGACAACGGAATCTCCTCCTCCAGGTCGGAGCGTGCGCGTGTGGCTCCACGTATATAGCCCGTCTCCATGCCCTCCAGCTGATTGAGCACCAAGTGCACCTGATGCCAGTAATGATCGTGCTCGGCCTTGGCCGCCGCCTGCTGCTTCAGATGCTCGTAGTTGCGGGTCACCAGGTCGCGCAGCCACTCGCAAAACTTTTCCGAGCTCTCATCGCGTTCACAAGACGACGAGATTGTGCTGGAGTGAGAGAGAGAGAGAGAGAGAGAGAGAGAGAGAGAGAGAGGAGGCAATGAGCAGCTGTAGGCATATGATGGGGTGGCTGTCACACTTACTTGATCCATTGATTGTAGATGTTCTTCCAGGTCAGCGAGCCCTCCAGTATGCCAGCAGCATAGGCCTGCACCCAATCCGGGTAACTGCGCTGCGTTTCCACCTCGATTTGTGCCCAACTGCAGGAGATGCATATCATTTAGCCAAAGTGTACCCGACTGAGAGTGTAGATCAAAACTTACCCATTCTCATAGACAGAGTCCTTGTAGCATATCCTAGCCACACCCTTGGGTATGTTAACCAGGTCGTTTTGCTGCTTCCAGTTCTCGATTTGAAAGCCCACCTTCTTCGTCCAGAAGGCGGTGGCACAGTAGGTCCCATCGTACTCGGGCCGATCCATATAGCCGACAAAGAAGGCGCCGATCACCAGCAAGCCGGCGCCGATCAGTATATACGTCCCTATACGCGTCTTCTGCCATGATGCACCAACGACTTTCAGCATTGTGCCGTCCGTCTTGAAGCCGCTTTCGAATCACTACCCCGGAATATATATGTATGTATAGATGTATATGGTCTATGCAGACTTATTCCTGGCCAACTCTACTCTCTGGGCGAATCTGTCAGTGTGGAGTTCACTCGGCTCGGCAATAGTTGAGATCGGCGCGTGCCGCGTAGGAGTGGCCCAGTTTGATGGCAATCACTTGGCCAATAGCGCCAGGATGCGAGTCCTGTCTCCTGCTGCAGCTCCTGCTGCTGCTGCTGCTGCTGCTGCTGTTCTTCACGGTGGCCGCGCTGTCAAGCGAATCGGCCTTTTGGTTCATCGGGGTTGTCGCTGCTCTTGGGCAGTGGCTCAAACGGTGATTAATCGAAAAGTGAATACTTCTCAAAAACGAATGCTAATGCCTGATGTGTATAGGTGGTTGCTTATGTATGTGGTTGCTGTTGCCTTCTCGCTGCTATGTCCAGTAGCAGCAGATGCGGTTTATGTATCTATTGAGCGTCCAAACTATTTCAATTTACTGAAGTTCAAAGTTTATCCCTAGCAAAATAGATGCGAAAAGGAAATATTAAGTCAATTTAATTGAAGTCATTTATAAAAGAGAACCAGCCCATATAAGCTCATATGAAAGGCATTTCTCTATGACGTCGGCGCGTGTATTTAAATGAAAAGAACGCCCATTATTATTCGCTCACTCTAAATATTTATACAATGCGCATTTGCTGCTCAATAATAATAAACAATTCGCTTTTATTTCCATTCAGTTTGTAATACGTCTCAATTCGATTTTTTTGGCTCGAATCGCTAACTGTAATTCATATTCAGTCAAGAGATGCCCATCAAAATACCTCAATTTGTCCAACGGAATCTGAACTTTGGCAACATTTTCTATTTCTCTCTTGAATAAACATTTTAGTAGTTGAATTTATTTATATATATTGTATATATTTGTTTTATGCTCCGAGTGGATCTTGATGTGGCTAACTTTTATGGCACTCACAGCTCGATAAACATTCACCCACCTGTTCCAGCTGGGCGTATACTTAATTATCTAAAGCACATGATATCATAAATAATAGCGAAAGCATAGAGAAGTCCAGCTCAAGAATTGCAAAAGTATTTGCCTCACTTTCAATAATATCTGCTTTGGGCAGCTCAAGGCCTTGTAAAGGCAAAGTATAATCGTTTGTAATTAGAATTTTGAATCGAATCGAAAGCAACTTGTGCAACTGTTTAACAAAGATAAACAAATTGCGCATACGCCCCATTGCTCGTTCTATTTTCGACAGTTTGGGAATTGTCGGGCACGTAGAATTAGTTGATATGAAAATCATGTAAGCAAATTATATCACACGACTTTGTAGCTATTTTCCCTCTACATATATTGAGTGTTTATACGAATCTTTTCTTTTTTTTGTCAGCTTTGAAATGCCAAATATTTTGCAGAACTAAGCAACAATCAATCAGGAATTCAAACGAAATCGAAGCTCTATTAATAAAATGAAAATATTTGGTATTTTGGCTTTAACTAGCGATTTCTCTGGGAGGTTTTTCTAGTATATCATCAAAAGGGAAATATATATAGTGTATATAGCAATAAATATAGCAATGAATGTGTATTTGTATTTTAGTTCTTAGTTCTCATTTCCTAATTTTAAGCTCTTAGTTCTTCCCTTTTAAATCAAGTTATCAAATATGTTTAAAGCTCTCCGTTTTTAGCTCTGATTCTCTCTTAGTTCTTAATAGTTAATAATTCTTAGTGCTTCTATCTCAGCTCTTAGTCCTTACTTCTTAATGCTTAGGTTTTGCTTACCTTTTTTGTTTCCCGGGTCCAGGAAGCTTAAATATCCCAAGTCAACCCATTTGAAGTACTGCAAAGAGAAAGACAAATAAAAATAAAGTTAATCAAATAAATATCGTGTTTAGTCTAGTCTGAGTAAATCTTAAGAGGCTGCGCCTCTAGACATGTAAATCAATAAGATCATCATTTTTGAGTTTGTTTTCTCATTCCAATCCACAGAGCCAGCTTTCTGGACGTCCAGACTTTGTTTATGCAAAACGCTTATGAAAACGTTGCGCACGCGCACAAGTTCAACGAATTGTGCATATTTATTTATTTGTTTATTGAGATGAAATATGAGTCGTGGCCAGTTGATTGGTGGTCCCCGGCAGCTAAGTGAGCTCGGCGACTTGGCGACACTTGAATTGGAGCACAGGCCACTTGAATTGATGTCTTGTGATGTTAAAGCTCAATTGGCTTGAATGGCAACGAATCAAACCAGCAGCTGCTGCCTGTTGAGGGTCTATCGACTGCTAGACAAATCCACCTGCCTGAGCTAAGAGTTGGTAATCGCAGCGAAAGTAATCAGTAAACATATTGCAATATATTATATCACTTCAACTATAAATAAAGTGGAATGGGGCTTACAAGTAAAGTTAAAATTGTATTCTTAACGACTTTAACTAAATTAAGCTCTTTAACTGTTTTGCATATGATTAATTGCATTCACTATGTCAAGTGCTGGGCAGTCCCCATTTAAATTAATTCCGTTTGCACTTTACTTCGCTGAACCTGTCGCAAAATTGATCAGCTGACCAGTTATTAAAATATATATATACAAATATTTATGAACGAGTTATGGCTTACTGGATCTTGGCAATTCATTACGCTTGCAGTCATTACGAACGATGATTACTGAACACATTTAAAATATTTATAACTGCTTTTTTATGGGACTTTCCCTGAATCACACTGTGGACTGTAGTTCGCACCGATTGTTTGCTTTTTGCATTTAGCCGATATGAAATTCATTTCATTTTCGCTTCACTTGTGAAAATAAACAAGTGAAAAACGGCTGCAGCCAGTGGAAAACCGTGCCGGTCCGATAAAGTTGTTTCTGAATGCTGTCTATATATATCAATATTTCGAATACCCTGGCTAAAATGAGTGAATAGGGTAAAGTGAGTTATATATATCTCATTTCAGTTTTGTAATATCGATAAATATCGATAGCTCTACTTGTTTGAGGATCGCTCAAGACTCTATTTAAAATATATGTTAACCATAATTAGCATCAGCTCCTGCCCAGTCATAACCTAGTCGGGCATACCCGCCAATCGCACTCTCACTTGTTTTTATATATTTCTCTGACCAAATTGATTTGCATTGTAAACGAAAGATAAAGTGAACAGCGTCAAGGCCAGAAGAATCTGTCAATCATGCAGCTGCTCACGCGCTGCCAATTGCACGTTGAACTAGACAAAGTTCTAGCCAAGTATAAACCCTCCAATGACGTCAATGGCATGTGAGCTAAGGTAGCCTTCTAATGTCTATAAGCTTAGCCAAATGTTTGACGTCTATTTTGCGTATTTTTTCCAAGAAAGCTAACTGAAGTTAATTAAGTTTTATTATCGTTATCATCTCTTGTTTGTGCAGCACACAAAGTTGCTCTTGTTTTTGTATTATATAATTTTCGCTTAGATGTGAACATCCTACATGGCTGATTTATAGAGTTCAATGTGCGCAATGCAGCAACCAGATATTATGTGGATATTATCTAGGTATATATAGATATATATATTATCATGTAATACGCCTTGGCAACTGCAGCGCATTTTCAATCTTTCCAGCCCAATCAATCATTTAAGTCGACTGTAAATAATTGACTTAGTCGATAGCAAAGTGCTCCAAATATGTCCAGATAGAAGCTACGCTATTTCCTGAACTGAAACTGAAATTCTATATGCATACATATTGAAACATTGATAAGATTACACACACATGCTGTGCAAATATTTAGATATGCTCTTGTCAGTCTAGACAGTCTTGAATCAACTGACAGTGGCGAACATTCCATTCGGGTCGATTTAATAAATGTTTACCTAGAACTTTCCTCACATAAGCAATATCAGAGTCTATGATTTATGGGCCTATTCAAAATGTTGAGCTTTTGTGTTAACTGTACCTATTAGTAGAGCAGTCAAATAATTCACTGTTATGCTAAATGGTTCTATCCACAAATCAAGTTCGATATGCTCGCCTTTTGATAAACAAGAATAGCAATAAATTAATTACGTATACAGATCTGAAATAAAGGAAAACATTTATGAAAATAATCATAAAATTTTTCAAATTTTCCTACCAATAAAAATCATGTACCAACAAATAATTTTTAACTAATTACGGTACTTAAAAAAAGCAAAGAGCAGCCCACTTATTTAGCTATGCAAATAAAAGCAAATGTATTCAAATTTTTCAATGGGCTAAGCATTTCAAGGCAGTTCATGTATCCAAAACGTGTTAGGAACCTCAGGCAGACAGCAGATCATCTGCTAACGCGTCTCATAAATAATTCAACATCGGCCACTCACTTGGCAACAGCTCCAACTCCCAGAGTATTTGAGGCAACCTGTCGCTGATGTGGGAACCTCAATCTATGCTGAATGTAAAGAGCTAAGCGAGCATAAATATGCAAGCCCATGCAAAATATTGTAATCCAGACATCGCTTCATATCGGTCAATCAATTGCGCTCGGCCACTCGATCCAATGCAATGGGGGAAAAGTCCGCTGAGCTGAGCCGCTGCCACGCGCCATCCGTTGATAAACTCAACGAAATAGTAAACTTACAGCAGACAGCTAAGCCAGCTAAAAAAAGAATAACGAGTAGGTTTAAGTGAACGACTAGGTAGATACCCTGCCCAGCCTCAGAATGGTAATGTTAGCATTACAATGCTTTGGAGGAAAGTGTGAAAATATAGAGACGGAGTGCTTCTTATTTTGATAGAACTAAGGTGAATCAATTTATATATCTTGTTGATCTAGATCTTGAAACGTTCGATACATACTCGAATAAGTTAAATTTAATAACGATTGCAGTTGGTTTCATAGAAATCCAAGTAATTATGTATGTATAGAAATTTAAGATATAATAAACCTCGAGAAAAAAGAAAGAAAGAGAATCGTAAGGCAAGCAGGCAAGTAAAAAGAAGAAGCACCGAGCTCTCCTTACTCCTTACCCATAACTTATGAATCCTAATTAATAATAAATATACCTAATAACACCAGGTACATCTCCTATCTGCCTGCTACAAACCTATGATCATTAACAGCATACCCTAATTCAGACAAACTCAGCAGGCCTAGGGTATCAGAAGTGTAATCAGAAACTGCTACTGCAAATACAATTTGAGCGAGAATTGCAACGACAACTGATTACTGTCTCAACTTATATCAGACTAGTCGACATTATTGTTAAGAAAAAAGTCCAGACGTCGCGACGACTGCTGTGTTGACACACGTGGCAAAACCGTTATTCAACACTGGCAATATCGCTGAGCCACCCAGCCATTTGGCAAGCATCTGCAGATCGCATGCGCTGACAGCTTTACTCGCGTGATTAACAAGTTATACTCTATATGCGGTGTGATTGAAGCACGCAATTAACAGATCTCGACTGAGATACTATTGATGATGAAATGCTAATCAGCTTGTCTATAAACAAAAGGTTCATCAAAGAACAATCGACTTTTACTGTGGTGATGAACGAAAGATTTTTTATATAGATAAAATTATATAGCAATTTTAATTCATAAATATTCAATAGTTCTATTGAAATATTACATTTAAATTGTTTTCTTTGCAAATAGTCAAAGCTGTTTCCGCCAATAATATTTCTATACATTTTTTACTAGAAAATAAATATGGAAAAATTTAGATTATAGATTTCCATCTGCAGCTGTTTTCAGTACTTAGTCAATAATAAAATTTCTGAAAAACCCAGCAAAATTCTTCTTGAGTCGTCGTAGTTTATTTACCTTTATCAGATACACTCAGCTGTTGTACACACACCAACAAATATTTATCAACTATGATTTATGTAAAAATATATTTTTTAAATTTTATTCTTGGTTATTCCAACACGTAAATAGATCAGATCGCAAGAACCGGAAAGATCCGCCTATGTCAAAAGATTATATATATTGCATGTAATCGCGCTTCTTCGAAGATAATAACGACGTCAATGCGCAAGAAAATTTTTGTGAAAACGAATTTTCGCGCGATCTCAACCGATTGCCTTGACGCTCCCACCAAAACTGACAGCGTTCGAAATTTTTTGGCGAGCGAAACGAGCGGAAAATCCGACAAACGATTCGAATTGAAATTGTGCAGAGCAACGTTGTTCTATTGAACTTGGCCGCTTCTGTCTTCGACCCTCGAGCGAGTGATCCAACCCGTACAGCCTGTCAGGTGGTGCGCCATAGCCAACGTTTGAGCACGTGGCAGGTGTAGCTATCTCCAGCTCTGAGCACTCTTGACATATCTTCAAAGCGCATTAATATGACGAGCTATGCATTTATCAATGGCGACTTGCACCGAGGCTAACCAGCGCACGTGACCATCTGCCAACTGTCGAGAATTCGCATTTTTATGCCACAGCGCATTTTTAATGGAGCATTCAGTTAAATACCCTATACAGCAGAAGCAACAAAAGTATATTAGCTGAGAGCAGTCATTATGTTTAATTAATATTATATATATTATCTTAAGATCTTTGGGTAATTGAAGATAAACTATAGATGATCTGCAGACCTAATACTAATACTCATAAAATTTCGTTTGATCAATACTTATTGAAGAGGCTATAAGGCAGCTAGTAGTAGCTGTTATCTGCTCTAAAATTTCATTAAATTTTTGGCAAATTTCTGCTATTAAAATGTAATCTAAATCATAATGAAGATCATACTATGAACATCCCTGTAAATCATTCTTAAATTACACATATACGAGTTCTACCACAATTAGGTCAAAAATATCTCTGAGAAGACTTCAAGGTCTCTTCGATATCTTTTTAGGACAGATTATTGCACAGATATAGGTATATTCAGAATGATGTTGTTATGAAATGATGTTATTAAAATAATTCAAGCTCAGCTAAAACAACATGTAGATAGTTTAGTTTCAGTCAATTCTTCAGCTTGATATGATATACATATGAAACAGTTTATCACGTTCGATCTACAACTCTTTCAATTGATCTGCAGCATAAGCTTTGCTATGAGAATATTCCCAGATTCGAGTTAATGGCTTTTCACTTTATTATTTGTGCTATATATTGGATTAATACTTAATCTCTGAAGCCAAAATTTAGCTTCAACTTAATTCAATTTTTAACCAGTTTCGTAAGCACTGCTCAAAAACGAACTAAATTATATCAATATAATAAAAATACAATTTAATTGAGTTAACAATTTAAGCTATATTTAAATATCAGTTTGAGTCTACAATTTGCAACCGGTTCGCCATGAAGACGCTAACAAATCTATCTAAACGTTAGGGCATATGGCTAAAAGCAGTTGCCTCGACCCGTAATAGAACAGTCAAAGCTGTTAATGATGATTTTTAGTGAATCGTTTGCATTTCGCATTTCCATTAGGTTTCATTATGCACAGCGTCATTTAGCATCAGCTCCACAATTGACTTTGAATTGAATCGAGTATGGAGCGTTCCGCATAGCTGGAAATTGGCATTCAGTTGAATGCGCAATTAAAGTATAGGAAAATTATTTGTTACGTATTTGTTTTTCCAGCAAAACTTTCTACCATCTACAATAAATTGTCTTTGACATTTTTGTTGGGGTCAATCATGAGACATTTTAATTGACGTGAAATTTTCTCTTGAGGGCCTGAATGGCTGACTCTCTGTCTGGCTGCCAGCTTCAATTAACAACTAATTAAAGGCGGCTTGTTGATGAATTCTCCAGGCATTTACATAACTCTAAATGAAATGTATGCAACAATGAATGATCATATGACATGTGTATATACACTATATGATAAACATACATAAATAAATTATTGTATGATATATCTACTTAATGGCTCTATATCAGAGTCTCAACAGCTAAATTGGCAGCTCTAACCCTTAAGCTCTGCTCTCTACTCTTAAGTGAGTCTCAACTGCAGTTCATCTCATGCTGAGGGACAAGAACCTCAAGGATTTTGACCTCATTTCTTGTCTGCGTATTTGTAAGACACAATAGCTGCCCCCAATGATCACGCTGTCTGCCGTTGTCCGTCCGTCGGTTTGTCTCTCCGTCTGCGCTCGTCTGCCTGTGTCTGCTTAAGCCGCCTGGCAAGTTCTTTGAAAAGACCTGCCTGAGTGTGATGTGATGAAGCTGTTGTCATGCCACTGACTCTCTCTCTCCCCCACAACCTCGCTCGGTCTTGTTGTCGTCCTCTTTCTCACTCTAGTTCGCTCTTGTTGTCTGATCTGTCCCTCTCCTTGCCTTCTACTCCTGGCTTTGGCTCACGGTTTGCCTTTGTAGTAGTTCTTTATAATTGTCTTTTATTTATTTTTCCTTGATCACAGACAATTCTACAACAACAACAACAGCATCTTGAGGTATACGTCTCTTAAGATCTGTAGTTAACCGACTTGAACCCTCTGTTGCCAGGCAGCCTTAGGTATCCATGCAGACTTGTTCGTATTCGAGGTAATTTGAGACGATTTATTGTCGGGTTTTTCGCTATATATTCTAGGTCATTGCCTTTGACTTTTACTTTTGCTGAATACCAATAATCTTTTACCAATATCTTTTAAGTAATATTCAGTTGCTTTACCCAAACTTAAGATTTGCCATAATGAAACACTTTTCTATAATTTTCACAGCTTGATACTCGATCTATACTTTGCAGCTTCGTTGTGGAATCTCAACTAAATGTACATCTTATGAGATTTTGTTTTTCCGTCAAACAGGTGCTCTGTAAGAATCTTATCTCCTCAGAGCATCACTTATCTACTCAAACAGCATCATCAGCAACAACAACAACAACAGCAACAGCAACAGGAGTAGCAAACAGCTGTCTGCGTAAATACTTCATTTATTTTTGAATGCTTTTGTGGAGCTGCCGCTTTGTATAAATATTTGCAATGATAAGCGCCGCGCTGCTTCGCCCTGCACTGAGATCTGTCTCGCTGTCTGTCGCTCTGTCACGCTGCCTCATGTGACCCTATTCACCTGTCTCAGTCTGCTAACACGTTAAATAACGCCTGAAGGTCTATCGATGACACATATTCATTGTGTATTTGCTCATTTTTATCATACTTCCGACTGCGAATTCCAATTCAAATGGGATTCGAACACACGGCGTTTAGGCCTTCAGCTAATTGCACTTGACTCAGTTCCAGTTGCCGTGTTGGCCTATCAGTGTAGACTTAAATTAGCAAACAAATAATATATGTAATCGAAATAGCTTTACCGATCGGCAGAGATAAGCTAGGAAACTTGCAACGTAGAACAGTAGAAAAGAGTGGAATGTTCTCAACGGAGTATAGATAAAGCTGAGCGTGATGAAGCTCCGTTCTAAAGAATGTTATACTTTAATGGAACAAGAGCTCTACATGTGGTCTTTAGACTAAATCAAGATTATATTTAATTTATCTCCACCTTTCTGATCTGTTAAATAATGAGATCAAAATAATTTATAGAGGACATATATTTTTATATAACAGCATTACTCAACGCTTAGACGAGCCCTTATAAAACAGATTAGCCTCGTCTGTAATTTGCATTAAAAGCGTCCCAATCTAAAATTTCCTAGTTTTTCCAATCCGCCGTTATCTCAATATTGTCAATTCATTTCATTAGACTAGAAAAACAGTAGAAAATCCCATTGAGCTCGAGCTACAGGTCACACTCGTCGAACAACCCCCAAAACTGTTTAGTCATGTCTGCTGTTGTGCGTTAGTAGAAAGTGAAAACCCCTGATCTGTAATCTCATCCCGTTGAATATGCGCATTTGCATTCCCCGTCGGACAAAAACGTTTAAGAATACACAACGAAAATAAAAATATATATAGAGAAACTGAATTAAACAGAACAAATAGAAGTGCGAATTATTTATGAAAATATTGACCTGATTCCAGATAGCCTAGTTATATACATAGTAATGGAATGAGTCGGCGGTTACCCACGTTTCCTACTCGCCAGGTTTGCAATATTTGTTTAAGTGCACGAGCGCGCGTGTTGGCAAGCCCCTGAAACACTTTGAGAAGGTATACTAAGTTGCTTCTAGATACTACCCATAGTTATGTCAGCAGCTGATCGAAATATGCTATGATCTACTCACCGGAAAATTTGATTGGTTGCTGAGTCACGCAAAGTCTGCGCTGTTAATTGTTTGGTATTTGTTGACTAATGGTATTTATGTGGATTGTATTTAGTCTATTTTTCGATTTTCTAGGATCTAACACCTTTATAGATATAGTTTTAACACGAAACAGCGATATAGTCACACAACGAGCTCGTGTTAATTAACCATGAAGGGCTACATTGGAACCGCACTGGGTGATTTTGTTTCTTGCTTTTCACTTTCAACTCGCTTAACAAATTTTCCGCAATGCTTGTGAAAATGATTTGTACTATAGTATATTTAACGAAAGTGTGTAAAGACTTTTGATAGTTGTGAAAAAATCCGATTGTTGCTATGCGAGGCAACTAACTAATTATAAGCTCTGCACGGTGCTTGTATGTATTGCACATAAAATATATAAGTATGTATCACCCGTATGTATTTGTAGAGCAAGAGAACGTGGCGTTTCTCTTTTATTTATATTTTCTTTTTATCAACTCTGTAGCTCTTAAGACTGCAACACTTTTGGTTTAATGCATTAACTTTTAGTTAAACAACAATTGCACATCAATGTGAAATCGACAGACAATGAACACGATTTACAGTTTACGAATAATAAAAGAAAGGGTACGATATATTTGCCTTGGACGACAATATCACGTCCGACGATCACCTTTAACGAATATCAACTGAGTGAGTACTGAGCAACTGAGTCCGGCACAGCGCCAACCGAACCCAACCAAAGCAAATCAACCACCAGATCTCTCAAACGAATCCAACAAAAGTGTTGCATATCTCACTGGCACGGCGAGAGCCGATCCGCTCAATTACACTCGACTACATGACTGAAGTTTGATTGTCGCAGACGGAAAAGTTAACAAAAATATAGGAAAACATATAGAATTACAAAATAAATCTGATGTATGTCAATACTCTAATAAAGTACTTCACTTAACTATACAAGCTTTATCTTAATGTCTTAGTCTTAAACTTTATTTATTCTTACATTGCATCCAGAGCACTTCATGTATTTATTTTTTCTTTTATTTCATTATTTTAAGAATTATATTTTTTCAATGTAAGATTTAATGGACAATGAATCTTGCTTTATTCAAATATTTATATATCCGTTTTCAATTCGTTATACAACTTACTTATGTTGTGCAGTGTAATCGCACTCTTGCCACGCTAAATTTGCTTCCCACTGAGCAACGCATTCGTCGCTCCAGCCCTGTACCGCTATAGACTAAAAAGAGAGAGAGCGGAGAGTAAGTCATTGGACGATCATTGACATAGCAACAGAAAGCTGCTCTCCCAGTCTTACAATTTCACAGTTTCCAATCAATTGAGTGTGTATGCTGAACTGTTAATCGTGACGTCACGTCACAAACTGATAACACACTGGACACTGACTGAAACGGAGCTAGTGAGAGGGAATGAATTGAGTGGAACATACGGCCATATGGATACGCCCCTTTGATTTTGACAGCAGCAAATACAAATTGTATTTCCCCCAATCCCCGACATGTGCAAATAAAGCGCGCCACGATAATTGGCTTTGGGGAGTACAAAAGATAAAGTTGGTTTGTAATTTATAATACCATATAATGTCGGAAAAGTACAGTTGGATGTTATCAGCTAGGTGCAGGTAGCAGCGTGTTCATTTACCTGCATTGCGAAACACAGACAGCTACGATGAGCCATTCATTACGAAAATAGCATCAAGATTCATGAAGTTATATCAACGGAAGTTGTATAACCGTAGGACAGTATATAATCACTTATCAAAGTTTTCTCCCCTGTGTTTTATAAATAAAAGATAATTACATGTGGAAA